GCGGGTCAAAAACGTATCCGTTTTTATATAGAGTAAACCTATTAAAAACGGTTCTATGTCGTAGAACCGTTTTTAATGCATTTTAATTATTTTATTTTATTTAAAAATGGCGAGACCGGCACGTAGATTATATAGAAAACGTATAAAAAGACGAATTTATAAAAAAATTCCAAGTGAAGTTGTAGGTAATTCATTAAATGTTAATTGTGAATATTTTGATGTACTTAGATTAAAAGGTGTTGCAGCTGGTATTGGGTTTTGGAATGGTTTTCAGATACCAAGTTTTAGGAATATAAAAGATATGCTTTTGAATAGTCAATCTTATCTTAAGTTTTCTCCTTTATATGGAAAACTTCGAATTAATTCGATTAAGATTATGGCTTCTCCAGTTCATACAATATCTAAATTACCTAATGACGTTGGTGGTTTACCACTTTTCTTTGCAACTTTTTATCCTAATTTTACATCTACTGCGGTAGATAATAATGCTACTTTATCTCATGATACGTCATTAGTACTTGATGTTATTAAGTTAGAGCAACAACATAAGACTTATAGACTTCCTTTACAATTTTACGAAGGTTCTGAAGGTACTGGTTATGGTGTTGATTTTGATCCTGGAAAGATACAGTCTTTATCTGGTGAAATTCATGTTGCTCCTTCTTATCAAATTTTTTATCCAGGATTGGCTGATTTAAGTTTGTTTAATTTTACTTGTATTATTAATATTAGTTTTTCTGATCAAATATGGTAACTTAACCGCAGCGACAGCAAGGTTATGATTGGATAAAAGGGATTAGGATAAATAATTAAGATAAATAATGCTTGCATTTTTATTATATATAAATAAATAAATAATTTTGACCCGCCGTCGTGCCTTAGTATTATAGGCACGGCGGGACGCGGGTCAAAAACGTATCCCGTTTTTATATAGAGTAAACCTATTAAAAACGGTTCTATGTCGTAGAACCGTTTTTAATGCATTTTAATTATTTTATTTTATTTAAAAATGGCGAGAC